CTCCTGGTGTTGTGGCGAAATGCAAACTGAAGCCATGAAGTATTCAATTGAGCTATTTGATGGCAAGAATGACTTTGCTCTATGGCAAAGCACTGTGAAGGATGTCCTTACTTGTTAAGGACTTGATGCAGCTTTAGAAGAGACCAAGCCGGCTGAGATGAAGGATAGTGATTGGAGTACTATCCAAAAGAAGGCAGCAAGTCAAATTCGGCTAGCGCTTGCACCGGAGGTGAAATACAACGTCCTTTCAGAGACTACTCCAATAGGCATGTGGAAGAAGCTTGAAGAGATATATGCTTCAAAATCTTTAACCAATCAACTATGTTTAAAAATGGAGCTATATCAATTGAAGATGGCAGAAGGCACAAATATTCATAAGCACTTATCTGATTTCAACATGATGGTGACACAAGTAGTGAATGCCGGGGACATTCTAGAAGAAGAGGAGAAGGCCTTGCTTTTACTTACATCCTTGCCAAAGTCTTACAAGTCCCTAGTGCAGAGTATGCTAGTGGGTAAGACTACTTTGGTGATGAAATATGTGACATCCATGTTGTTGGAGAATGATAAGTTTCTTGGGGAGGATGATGGTGCCAATCAAACTAATGCTTTGGTGATGGAGCACTCTCGGGGAAGATCCAATGGACGTGGAGGTGGAGGAAATCGAGAAAGGTCGAAATCCAGACCTAAGAAGGATTATGGTGAAGTGCAGTATTTTTATTGTGGTAAATTGGGTCACAAACAGTATAAATGCCCAAAGTTTAAGGAGGACTTTTCTAATATGAAAATATTGATGAAAAGTCAAGAAACCAAGGGCAAGGGGGAGGCTAATATTGTTGAAGAAAATGTGGTTGAAGTATTAGCCTGTGAAGAGTGTGATCTTGAGGTGGAGCAAAACAATCAAAGATGGATTTTGGACTCCGCTGCAACCATGCATGTGTGCAATAATCCTTCGGAATTTGGGAGTTTGGTTCGGGGGGAGCTTGGCAAAATAACGGTGGCTACCAGCGAGAAGGTGAATATTGAAGGCATAGGAGATGTTTGTCTCAATGTTCACAATGGGAGAGCCAAGATTCTCAAGAATGTGAGATATGTGCCCAAGTGTTCAAGCAACATTATTACTTTGAGTGAGTTGACAACACGAGGGTGCAAGTATGTCAGAAAACAAGAATGGTGCAAGGTCTACAAAGGTGGAAGACTTGTCTTGCATGGGAGGAAGAACAAGCACAACATCTATGTGCTTGAGCAACATCCCCAGAGAAGGCTCAACAAAACCATGAGGAAGATGGTGTGGAAGCCTAAAGGGATCTTGGTAGATGGCAAGGAAATTAAGAAGACCAAGAAGAAGGTGAGCTTCAACAATGAAGTGGTGTTTGGTGATGGTTCGAGGAGGTGTGATTTTCCCTCGAATCATATCTTGGTTCAAAATTAATTTCTGTAGTGCATTTAGTGTAGGTTTGTCCTATCCTATACTAGGAGGAAACTCTCAAAAATAGGACACCATGATGAAGTGTTCTTGAGCAGAGGGAGCAAAATTATGGAATGTTGAAATGTATGGAGTCATGGTTGGTTTCTCCTCCCATAGGGTTGGAGGGGGAGATTGTTGGAAGAAAGTCCAACCCCATGTGTGAACCCATGGACTTTTTGTGTGGAAGTTTGC